CTGTGGAGGTCCGCAAGTCCGTCCCGTAGGACCAAGCGACTTGTGCAAAAGAGAGCCCGTGCCGATAGCAAACAGCAGCCCTGACATCCTTGAGAGGAAAAACTAACTAACAAGAACAATAAATCACTACAGAGGCAGATTACCAAAAATGCAAAAAGCTTTGTACACCCATGATCCCGTCGCGACAGAGGAATCGACGTCTCGAGACCTCATATGTACTGCTCATTGCCCGTAGCAGTGCCCGACAGCAACGGAGTGCCCTGCGTCCAGCAGCAACTCCGAATGAACAGCACAATGGTCGTAGATCACGCTATGAACAGAGTATATACAAGTGTACAGCAGCCGACTATGACGACCGAGGCTTCAAGTACCTGTGGAGCAAGTTCTGAAGTGAGCGCAGGCGCCAGCAGCATGGGCTAGGAGCAAGGCATCTTTTCCATCACCGCTGCCCCATCTAGCGGCCAGGAATGAGCTGAAATCCCATGGCACTCAGGATGCTCTGATCATCTCTGGAGAGGGCATCTGATGATCGTATATGGTACGCCACTAGTACCAATCTCGTTCCATCCCAGGGCATAGTGCAGCGCAAGCGCTTTGGTTGAAAAGTGATGTATGGCCGGCTTACCTCAAGGAGGGTGCCCTTAACACCATTGACCATTACTTCACCTCCGCCTGTTTCGCACCATATATGCCCGCGGCCAAAGCTGCTCAGTGGTATCACCATGTTCTCTGACTGAGGGTGATTATTGCCGTCCCTGTGCGGGGCTGAACGCGTATTCAGTAGCAGGCTGATTGAAGAGTAGAAATGATGCGGGTTGAGGCTTTGCACCAGTGAGGCGAGCAGAAGCGAGACTGCCCTGAACTGCCGCACATGAAGCATTAGACCCACTGAAGCAGAGTACACGTAGGCTCCGGTGCTGAAAACTCCGGCCAAGTTGCCATCCCCACTGCAGCCATCATCCTGAAAGGGCCGCATACTCAACGGAAGAAGCTCTGTAAGCCTGAGAAAATCCGCCTCCGTGGCCCACTGGCGCTTCAATAAATCAACTGAGAAGGTCTCTGCCTCGCTGTGTCCCTCACTGAGTTCCGGAATTGCATGTACATTGACCGCAAGGTTGAAGCCAGGCTCTAGACAAGGGGACCTACTCGGAGAAGGTGAATAGCCTGCTAAGCTATCAGCATCCAACGGCTCCTCCATGGAAATGTCATGCTCCACTGATTCAGACTCAGAGCTTTCCAAGATGAAGGAAGGCTCGGAAATGTCCAAGACCTCAGCACCTGGAGCACAAACGCCAAGTATAGAGGGTGCCTCAAGCTCAAGGAGCTCCAACCACTCCTGCTCCGTCATGACCAATCCACTTGAGCAGCTAAGGAAAGCACATGGACCCGCATGCATCTGCAAAAATCTGCAACATGATTTCAAAATACACAAGCATGTCGACCGCAAATCGAGCGGGAGCACTCGACGTACTCCAATCCACCTCATTGTTAGCGGCAAGAGACCAAGGCAGACTCCAGCAAAGGGAGAAAGCAGAGTAAGCTGCATGAAGCGCATACGTCTTTTCAAGACGTCCAGGTAGTCCAAATTCGACAGTATTTGCGCTTCGGCATACTGCAAAAGCTTCCCATCACGAAGCCGAGAGTGTCCAGAAAAATCTAGCCAAGGTGCTTAGACACCTGTACAGCGAGACTGGACCGGGTTGCGCGATCCTTCTTCAACGAGCATCCGCAGAGCTGCAGAGCGCTGCCCCTGTTTGAAGGAGAAAAACCAAGTTGTTTTTTGTCATCGCTTCCCCCATAGGGCGAATGGGGTGGAACCGCCCCAGGGCATGATCCTCTACGCAGTACTTGATGACAGCCTTGAGGTGACGGGTCAGGGTGTCCGTGTGAAGGCCAGGGTTGTCCTTGTCGGGGAGCAGCAGCTTCGATTCACTGTGGTAGCTCAAAAAGGGCCAGAACCGCCCATCCGCCGAAAGCCAGGTATTATCGGTGAATTCTTTGAAGGCAGCAGGGTCCTGAGGAAGCTTCTCTACGCGGTTGAGGACCTCACGGAAAAGGCATAGGACCAGCGTCGAGCGCATACTCTTATCCAGCTTCTCCGGAGAATTCTTTTTGAGCTCTCTCCACACAGTCTGAACCCTAAACAACTGTGGCACGACTCCAGCATCAATACCAAGCTTGGCGTGAACTACGAAGGAGACTTCGCTGCGAGTCAGGTTGACCGCATCTTCGTGGCGCAGCGTCAGGCGAGTTAGCAGATTCACCTGCTGCTCAAGGGCTGCTAGCCTTTTGCCATCACCACCATGGCCATCCTTCTTATTCCAATCCCAGGTATCCCATCTCTGGTCACCAGAGCCTCTGTCCTGCCTGGAGTCTTTGTAGTCGCGACCCTTGACGCCGCCGCGTCCTTGGCCCCCTTTTTCATTGGGCTTGTTGTGCTTCGGGGCTGTGCCTTCAGCATCAGAAGGAGCCGGGGCCTGGTGCTTTGTCCCTGGAAGCATCATAGCAAAGAACTCCAGCTCCTGCTGCTGCACCGGATCCACATTTTCAGACATCGCGCACACTCAAAGAATGCTCTCGCTGAGCTTGAGCAACAGGCACTAGCAAAAGGACATATACGTCTCTTCGATGCTGCTGGGTCAAGCAAATGCGCTGCGCAGGCTGGCCATCGTCTGAGTACCCCCACTCATTGTCCCAGCGGAGAAGGGATCTGTAGTGTCCGGAGGTGGGGCAGGGCCTTGGTGAACAATGGCTGAGTGTACCATGTAAGGTCGTGTTTGAGTTGTGACGCCGTCTGAAAAAGTCGGGACAGCAACCTCCTGCTCAAAGTCCACGGCCGTGCAGTTCTTGTGACCATTGACGTACCTGCCCAGCTGAACCACCAATGCGCTTCTTTCTTCAGCTACTCCATTTAATGAGTGGCCTTGACTCCATCTTTGAAGGATGGCGGTTAGGGATGTGGCTCCCTCAGCTTCAACCTCCGCAAAGAGCATGAGGCCACCATAATCCGTGATCCGAACTGACCCTTCTTCTTGCCTTCTGGACTCCCACCTGGACCAAGTGGAAGCGGATACCTGCATGTACTGAAACAGGAACTCAGAAGCATCCTTCTGCTCCGCATTGAAAATCCATCTAGGCACTGCGCTGCGAACGACTAACTGGGAGTGTAGCAGAAGCTCTGCGCCAGCATCCGCGGCCTGCTTGCAGAGGGCCGTCAGCGACCTCAAGTCCCTGGAGCTCACCTGCTGTAGAACATGCAGCATGGCAATAGTGCTCGAGTTGACGTAGCACAGCTGATGCGGGCTACGAAGAAGGAGCCTGAGCGTCCATGGAGTAGCATCCCGAGCAAAATGCCTGGGGGCAGCTGCTGCAAACCGCAATATGGAAGTTTGTTGCACAGTGCCTGTAGCGCTCGAAGTGCGGTTGCTCAATCGACTGGTTGGAGGAGCCGTGGTCTGCTGCGACCTTTGCAAAACATGTGGAGTCGGGCTCTTCACTTGCGCCCCGCCAGCAGGATCTTCGGCCCCTGCTCGAAAGGCTCTGGCCAAAGGAGACCGGGCAATGTCCACCTGGGTATATGCCGCTACTGCTGCGCTTCTTCGGGTTTGTGGAGTTTTGGCATCCGCCTCCGCTGCATTCGCATAATTGTTAGCGCTAAGCAACATCCCGGCACAAACCTGAAAGAGAGAGGAGCACTGATTCGCATGAAGACTAAGGTTCTTGGCGCTGCTGCTGCAAAACTGACATGGCGATTTGAAGACAGACTTGAGGCTGCCGCATATACGCATGGCCTCCGCAGATACTTTCCGCCACGCTGTCGGATGACTCTTCCTCCCGTGCGTCTTAATCCGGGATTTGTCGAGCAGGATTTGACCACATAGCACGCACCGAGGACCAATGCTATGAATGCTCTCAGCAAACTCAGATATGTGATGTCTTTGTGCAAAATACATAGGGCGCCTGTCCTTCAGCAAGACGCTGGACCGATTCAGCGCACGAATCTGCTCAGGGACCTCCGGTGGGCTGCTTTGATGTTGCATGCAAATCTCCTTCTCGAGCTCATCAATTGACTGTCCCTTACCCACTGCGGCCTTAATCACCATGCATCCACCCATAGTGATGTGTTTCTCTAGGGAGTGGTTGTCGCAAAGCATTTTCTGGCAGAAAAAGCACTGAGGCAGTCCGTTAATGGCATGTTTGGATTTGACGTACTCAACTCTGGATGCATCATGAATCTCAGGGTGTTTGCTCTTAATATGCATAGCGAGGCCGGACTCATTGGCAAAGTACAAACCACAGACCGGACAAGAAACGGTGCTCTCTGCAGTGTGCACGGTTAGGGCGCATTCTCCAGCCTCAAATCCAGTCAAGCTTGTCTTCGACTCTTTGTAAGAGAAGTTGCACAGGATCAATGCCAGCAGAGTGGAACAGTTGCTTGTTGGACCCCTTCTCATACACTCTGAGGATTTTCCGCAATTGGACAGCCGTGGTGGCACAGATTAAATCAAGGGCTCGCCTGTCAAAACCAACCCCAATGAGCCCGTATTCAAGCACGGTCCAGACACATGATCTATAGATTCGTACCCTTTCGGCCTTTGAAAGGCACGCCCCAGTTCGAAGGACCGCTCGGAGCTGGCCAAACGCCGCCTTCGCCACGCTGCACCGAAATTTGGCTGATTGAACTTCGAACGGACCGTAGGAAAATTTAATCCCCAAATACTGAATCTCCGGCTTGATGGCAAAATAAGTGTTGCCCTTCTGCCCGGGAATTCTCAAGTGATCTTCACCTCCTCTGACACACACGAACCGTTTGCGAGCCTCGTCTGACTTTGTTCCTCTGAGCAGCATAAGGACCTCCGATTTGGGTATGTTAACCGTCATGTGCGCATTTTCCAGAGCTTCCAAAACAACCGGAATCTGCCCAAGCGCCCTCTCTAACTGCTTCATGCCCCGAATCTGCCAGCAAAGAATTTTGTCGTCGGCAAAAAGAGTGATTGTGCGTTTGTCCCAACCCTCACCCAATTTGGTAACAATACGCCGGCACAAAAGTGCAGTCCAAGCAGAGTAAATAACGGGGGCTACGGGGCAGCCTTGTCTAAGGCCGCGCTTCATCTGCACACTGGCTGAGTAGGCTCCATGGACAATGTCACACGCGGATTGTCTATGAACGCGCAGAATAAGTCTAGCTAGATACTCAGGCATGCCTGCGTGGGCCATAGCCTCGCACATCTCGGAAATCTGGAGATTGTCAAAGGCCTTTGACAGGTCAAGGCTCAGCGCCAGCCCACCTACTAACTCAGGGATCTCCGCACCCAACAGCTTAGACAAATGTGAGGTGGAGGAACCTTCAAGGTCCTTGCGTACAGAATGACAGTGTGCACCCACTCGAAGTATGGCATCAAGCGCTGACCCCGGAACGGTAAGCGAACTGAGGCGTGTGCTCAAGTACTGCCATGACGTAGGGGTGGGCCTCCGCCTTGAGAAGAACCATGAAAGCTTTCGTGTCGACCTCCATCAGCCCGATAGATCTCAAATGTTCAGGGCAACTCGGAGTCTTACCAGGCTTAGGCAGCCAAGCTAACTGAACCCGTGTCCAAAAACTTGGAATGTAGGGGCGACTTGCGCAAATTGCGTCAACGCAAATGGCCTCGAGGCTGGCCGCATACTCTGACGATCTAGCTTGCCATGTGCAAATCTGGGCCGAGCCCGCCGGGACCGCCTTGCCCTTTTTGACCTGAAGTATGGCCCATTCCCATCGCTGCTTGGAGACAATATCTGCAGGAGCGGGTAGCATGGGGGGCAGATCAGTGTCTGCAGCATGAAAGAGCTTTGATGCGTACTCCCGAAGGCGATCACCCTCTTGAAGCTTTGTCATGGTCATACCGCGCTCGTCACGCAGCTTAATTTTAGGGACGAAGGGCTTAGGGGCAACAAGCCCAACAAGCTTGACAAACGTATGAAAAGCCTTGCAATCTCTGCTCCGAGCCTCTTGCTCAATCTGCTGTAGGCCATTCAAGAGGCGCTGTCTCTTGCGCTGACGACAGGCCTTTTTCAGAGCCCGATGTGCCCTCTGAGCACGGCCATGCACCTTCATTGCCTGGAAAGCATGTCGAAGAATGTGCACGCACTGTAGCTGGCTGAGTTGTGCCCGAAGTCTCCAGTGACACTCAATCTCAGTCGTGACCTCCTGCAAAGGAGGGAGCTTGCGCGAGCTTTCCCTGCCGGGACATCTTTGTTTGACCGCTGTCCTGAGCTCTGAAACAGCCTCATCTCCAGGAGTGACCGCCGTGTGGGCCTTGCGAGTCTCCAAGGGGCTCTGTCTGTGTTGCCAAGGCCGCCATTGTAGCCTCATGTTGCCGGAGAGCAGTCTGTGCCCCGAATGTCTCCATCCTGCCAGTCCACTGTCCACAGGCCCACTCTTTTTGGCCTCAGAGTCCGCAACCTGCTGCCTAACCACTAAAAAGTCAATTTGAGTGCAGCCAGTGGGGTGCTCATAGGTGGCCTTCTTCTTGCCCCAACTGTTTAAGACCGTGAGCCGGTGTTTAGCCAAAAGCTCATTTAGCACCAAGCGCTCTTGTTCCAGGTCCGTGGCAGAAGCTCCTGTGATTACACCATGGCCCACCAAGGGAGGCTGCGACAGCAGGCTCATATTGAAGTCACCTCCAAGAAGGATCATGGACCGAAGTGGGACCTCCGACAAAACCTTGTCCAGCTTTGTCAAGACAGCTCTTCGCCTCTCCATTAATTTAACTCTCTCCTCGGCGCTGGCAGAGGTGATTGCATGCTGATAAAGAGAGAGAATCTCCCACTGTTGGCGACCAATCTCCGCTCGCACTCGCAACAGCCTGCCAGGGATGAGTTCCTGCCATAGGATCTCCTTAGAAGACAGAGCGCTGGTACGGATCGCTACCATAACACCATCCTGCCTAGCCCTCGAAGAAGCGCTGTGAACATACGTCCAATCTCCCCACGTCCACTCACCACTGCCTGTCCAGTGGGTCTCTTGAACCAGGACAATGGCCGCTCTGGTCGAGCTCCACCTTGGCTTCGGATGACAAGCCTCCTGCGTTCCAGCTGAAGAACTGTAGCCGCGGCTGCTGTCTCTGTACCAAAACTCTGGGAACCAAAACTTTCTGCGTTGTAGGATCTCCCAGTTGCTCGCTGAGCAGCGGAGGCCAGCATGTCGTCCTTGTAAAAGGAGCTGTGCTGAGGCCATGAAAATTGCTCGTTGAGTCCTTTGAGACGTGGTGGCAGTGTGCTGTAAAGTATGGGATACTGGTTGTGGCAGAAGGCAAGCAGGGACTTGTACTCAGCAGCGGGTAGAATCTCTTGAATACTCTCCATGATGGTATCGGCTGTGCCGAAAGACCACAGCTGCTTAGCCAGTGCGTCGTCTGCATCTGCCCGTCCCTGTTCCGAAACACCCTCAATTGCCAGCTGCTCTACCAAAAGCTCTCTTGCTCGCACTTGCAGGTGAACAATCGGCAACAGTTTCGTATCCATTGCAGCACGAAGGGCTTGTCTAGTCTTGAACACTCGTGGCGCTTTACTACTACTACTACTACTACTACTACTACTCCTGCTGCTGCTGCTGCTGCTGCTGCTGCCGCTGCTGCTGCTGCTGCGACTACGACTACGACGCAACGACGACGCATACTCCTACTCCTACTCCTCCTGCTGCTGCTTACTAGTCATCAATTCTATTGGTACCTCTACTCCTACCGCCACCAGCACCACAAGTACCAGCAGCACCACCGGCACCAGTACCACCGCCGCCATCACCACCACGATGACCATCACCGCTACGACGTTACGAGGTAATATCAACAACAGCAGCACAAGCAGCACCAAGCTGTAGTATAATCCCAGTTTCCATTCAATTTTCAACTTTCTTGTCCATTTGATATTTATTGGGGAATGATATCCGTGTAAATCCCCATTTTATCCTAATTTGGAGAAAGCCTTTAATAGTCAGTTATCATCCTAGATTACTAAACCCTCTATTAAAGTAGTTTCGATGTTGTTTTCCATGTTAACTTATGATCCTTAATTATTGGGGTCACATCCCTATATAATTCCCTACGTAATCCCCTTACATAACCCGTATATAACCCCCAATAATCCCCTACATCATCCCTAACATGATTCCTATATGAATATGATCCCCTACAGCACATAAACTCCTACATAATTCCTCTCTATCCCCTACATTGTCCCCTACATAGTCCCCCAACATAAGCCCTATATAACCCCTAGATAATCTCCGACATAATCCCGATATAACCCCCATATAATCCCCGACACAAATAATGCTCATATAACCCCATATAATCCACTATATAATCCCCTACTATGTAAGCGCAATATAATCCCGTACATAATCCCCAACGTAATCCCTATATAATTCGCTACATAATCCCCTATACAATGTAAAGAATGCCGCCTGGCGCTGCAGCTGAACCGCACTGGCCTGGCGGGATAGGAAAGAGCTTTCGGCGGATTTCATTACTGTCTGAGAGGAGTTTTGGAGGTATACACTTACTGAGGGTAAGTGCGGAATAAGGGAGAAAAAACAATAAGGGCTTGGGGCTTTGCAGGGAATAAGGGAATATACGTGCTGTAATGGAGAATCAAATAGAAAAAAAAAACAATAAGGGCTTGGGGCTTTGCAGGGAATAAGGGAATATACGTGCTGTAATGAAGAATCAAATAGAAAAGAAAACTGAAAATGAAATGTGGGGTTTACACTGGTTTACAAGTGGAACATAGGACTCATTACCTGGGGTCAGTAGGGGCGAAAGGAATATACCATATAGGGATTCTGTCCGGTTTTTCCCTACCGACCAACCCACAGTAGTCCCGTTTGAGAGGAGTTTAGGAGGTATATGGGTGGTTGTCAAAATTATGATCCCTTTTTGGGTACCCTAAATATTAGGTGTCGTATTAAAGAGAGGGATCCAAAAAGGGACCATAATTTTGACAACCACCCATATACGTAGTTTCTTCTAAGCTTCATCCTGCAGGGCTACCCCAGATCCCGGAGAACAAGAACCCTGTTATGGTCACCCTCTCTTGGGTTGTTGACAAGGGAACAGACCGGGCATCCTCAGTGCAACCACATTCTGCAGAATCCACAGGACCATACGTTTTAGGCTAGAAGTGCTGAATGACACCATGAGTGAAATCGAGTCAGTTTGCGAGCCAACTGCTCTCTGAGAGCGCGCCTCCATCTGCCCAGACACCAGAGAGAACTGGTAGTAGCAGGACCTGGAGAGTCGAACCGTTGCGCCCAAGCCGCCAGCAGGAGCCACTCATGGGGAGCATATCTTGGACTCACCTTCTCATTCTTTCGGGTCAGCTGCATCCAAGCTGCAGCCACGATCGGAATGCCTCGTAACATTGTCCAGCCTGGGACGGGTCAGCGTGCAAGTGACGTCTTCATGACTCTCTGATCCTAGTGGCTGCTGCTGCAACAGGTGCTACAAGGCATGCTACGCCTCTGAGAAGCAGCCTACACCAAAATTGGCAAAGAAATGCTCCGGAGCAGCGGCCTCGTTCAAGGTTCCTCTCCAGCTGCTGTCGCACGTCAGTAGGTATGGAGCTAACCTGCCCATTTGATCAGAACAGCTTCTCCGGCGAACTTCGTGGCAGAGGCTGATCATCTAATGCTTTCGCCCTGCTTTTCTATACAGGGCCACGGGTACTTCAACATCACAGAAAATGGACTAAGCTTTTAGCAGGATTATCCGTCAACCCCGGCCTGACGGGGCGAGCGCACCGTGAAGCCTTCCTTGCTGCGTGTTCCTCTACTCTACGTCTCTTTCTCACGTCTCAGGCCTCATTCAGGCCCCTCCCACAGCCTTCCCCTGCCTCTACTAGCTTCGCTTCTACCCCCAGCCCCAGCCCTGCATTCGGGGTGCGCACCCGCAGAAATCGTCGCGTGAGCCCTCGCCTTGCGTGTGCAATGGAGGCTCAGGCTTTGTCGTCGTCTAGCCCTCGCGCGGAGGCTCAGGCTTTGTCGTCGCCTAGCCCTCGCCAGAAGGCTCAGGCCTTGTCGTCAGTCGTCAGAGTCGTCAGCCATCGCCCCCCCAGTATTCGTTGCAGGCTCGTTTTTTTTGAGAGGTTGCCCCTAAACCTCCTCCCCCCTCCAGGAACCCGCCCAAACGTGTTGAGAGGTTGCCCCTCGGCCTCCCTCCCAGCCTCCCTCGCGGTCCCGCTCACATACACCAGGACACCTACACCGCGCACAAACACCACAGCAACTACACCGCGCCAGTACTTCACAGCACCTCACACAGCATAGCACCTACACCGCGCCACGTACACCGCAGCACCTACACCGCCCACATACACCACAGCACCTACACCGCACCATGTACACGAGAGAGCCTACAGCGTCTCCTTTTTATTCGTAGCGCTAAACCACGACCGCAGCACCTAGAACACGGCGAGATACGCGTCCCTTGCTAAAGTCGAACTGATTGCTTTCGGGATAATGGAGGTCTAGTTTTTTTTACTGATTCAGGGCTGTGCGGGCATTGCCTAGCCTATCCGTGGCCCCCCCCCATTCACCCCTTAAATAAGAAGTGGCAGGCCTCCTGGACAGTGCACCAGGTGCTGCGGGAAGTGCGGTCAGTTTCTCGGCCAGCTCCACAGGGTCCTTCCAGCTTATATCATAGGGTATATATAGGGGATATATAGGAATAATGGAAAAGAAAAAAGAAACTACTATTGTAAAAGGGTATATATCGGGATTATAGTAGGGAAGAAGGGAGCCACTGTCAACCCAATCCCGCCTGAAGAATCCACTTGCAAGCTGACACGAGGTCTTCGCGACGTGAAGCAACTTGTGAGTTACAAACGACGCACCTGGGACCCGACACGCACAAAGCTGACATTGCGGTCTGTGTGTTGGAGGTCCCTAGTTGCATTAAGTATGCGAGATTCAGAGTACGTGCTCGACGCATTAGTACACATAACTTTTATCGGCTGCTTCAAATGCTCAGAGCCCAGCAGACACTCCATTATGCCAAGCAGGCTTTCAGGTTCTGCGCCACCATGAAAACCTCCAAGCCTTGCAAGGTATGGTCAGATTCACAGCTGCCTGGCTCCCTACATGGCACTCAAACACGATCTTCAACAAAAGATTGCAAGGCAAGCTTGCTGCCATCTTCGAAAACAGTGGCTGTCAGCAGAGGGCAGTGGAGCTTCAGACCCCACATGATCCGACATTGTCAGTCAAGTCAGCCCTACTTCGCCCATCTGACTTCACGCGTCTCCTGTATTGGGGCACCTGGGCTCACCGTGCCATGTTGTTGTTGCCCTACTGCCAAGGAAGACACGCGATGTTGTGGGAGGGAAGAGCAGGGTTGTAGCTGCTTTTCAGTGAGCAAATGCCAAACTCCAGCTGTGCAGGATAAGTCAGGCTGTTGTCTGGAGAAGAGGCTCAGCATGTATGACAATGACCTTGCTCTCTTCACAGTGCTGTCAGAGCCACTGCGCAATTCCTGTTCTCTGCATCACTGCCATCCGCCGGATTCCACCAGCTGGACTGATACGGGAACTGGATAGACATGCCATGACTTCTTCACAGGCAATTGACGAATGACCTGCATGTCCAGCGCGCTCAGACTGAATGTGGTTGAATGATATCTTCAGAGCAGTGTCAGAGCCACTGCGCAATAGATTGAATTCTGCATCACTGCTTGCCCGCAGCTTCTGCAAAGGCAACGAGCCGCACCACACAAGAGCACTCCGCAAGGAAGCCACGCACAGATCTTAGAAACTCAGCAATCTTGACATTAAAGTGTCATCTTCACAGTGGTGTCAGAGCCACTGCGCAAATTCTCTTTTTCTGCATCACTGCCAACCACATTCCGGCAACTGCCCGAGCTTGTCGAGTCGGTAACAGCAACAAGCACCCGGCAACAGGAGATGGGATGTCTCATGAAGGTCTCAAGACGATTTCCAACAAACAACCCCACAAAAATTCCAGAGGCTGCACGTCACGGTTTGCCGTCGAGGCTCTTCAACCGGTGTGCTAGTCGGCAAATGTGCTGAGGACAAGGCGTGCCAACTGTGCCGCCCGGACGCAGGCCTCAAAGGAAATCCGAATTATCGACATGCACTCCTGATCACTCCTGTGACAGGTGTAAAGTGAGCAGCATTAATAATGGCTAGGATGACTGACTACAGCTATCACCTAAACTTCTCCTTGTGTAAGAATACCCGAGGGTCTTGCCTTGCTCCAAATACTGAGAGAAGTGGGGCGCCTCACGGAGAGTGAGCCAAGACTACCAGCAGGGCAGCAACTTTCAGATACGGCGTCAGCGCAAACTTGGCTGCTTCACGCTGCAGGCATGGCTCGGAATTGCCAAAAGCAGCCCAAAGCCGGCCTTCTCTGGGAGCAGCTCTCTGAGTTTTTCCGATGACGCCCGTAGCTGGCCCTGCCAGGGCAGCTTTGACTTCAGTGGAACCAACGTGTGCGCAGACTCTCACCTCAAGTTGCTTGTACTGCGACTGGACGAGACGAAGCCGCAGAACCTGCGGTTGAGGAGAATGATGGTAACGTAAATCTCTCAAACTGTTGTCCAGAAAATGTCTGTGCTTGCGCGGCATGACATGAAAATGCATGAATGATGTGCTCAATTTGGTCATTGCTGCGTTAGATTCACAAACTAATAGTTGTGGGTGCGCGAATGACTGTGATACTTGATTGCAGACGAGATGTCTGACGGGCCTCAGAAGCGATCTCTTGGATCTGCTGGCTCTGGGCAGCGTCGGCACTGGCGTGAGAGCCACGATCCAGATGCACGCACACTGTTGCGTTGAAGGGTGTTTGCAATTGAATTCTTGATGTGCTCAGTGGTTCTCGTTGGAAGGGCAAGTCTCTCAGACATCCCTGACTTCTACAACTTGGCGTCTTCAGCAAAGCAAACTGAGAACGACGACGCTGCATGTCCCGACCACCTGATGGCTCTATGTCTGCGTTGGGGGCAGTTTGTAGATACCCCAGATATCAGGATCCAAACCAGCAGCCAAAAACACACGACCCAAGTCGCTGATCCGGTTCTAGCTATCCAAACCCTGGGCAGCCTGTCGCACGTCGCTGCAGCCACTCGGGCAGGCGCCTAGCCACAAACACTTCTTGAACTGTGTTTGAAGGAACTCGGCGTGGCGAGCGACACTAGTTAAGAGTTACTATGGTTAACATCTTCACCATGCATATCATGAGGGATCCTGCCCTTGCCTCTCAGGTACCGAAAAGCTTCCCAGTACAAACATGCCGGCATGAATGCCTGCAGCGACATTTCGGCGGTCACGCCTGAGACACTTCCAGAAACGTGTAGAAATGACATCTCAGGTCTTGAACCGGGAACATACTTATCTCCAAGTTTCATCCAGACTGGAACTGGCAAGCAGAGGGAGAACAAAAGGTTTCAAGACCAAAGCAAGACCTCGACTGCTGAACGAAGCAAGCCCAGAAGTACTGTGCAACTGCTGTGGGGGAGCAGGGCCATCAAACTGCGTTACCCTGTGCAAGGCTTTTGAAAAACGTACGGAGAAAGTTGAAAAGTTGACGGGGTGGCAGGGAAACTGGCCAGGTCACACCATCTGTCTCTGCATCCCAGTCATGTAGCTTCAAAACAAACAACAACCAGGCAGAACACCCCAGAATCCTGCCATGATGCCCTTCGTTTTATCCTACCAGAAGCTTGTATGTCGAATGAACCATGATCACCCCTTAATGCTCTCATGGTGCAGCACATTAGCGCGCTTGCACTTGGACAGACTGAAAAACTATAACAAAAAAAGTAACAATAGCAGTAGCAGCAGCAGCAGCAGCATTGTGAAAATCACGGAGCCAAATAAGGTGCAAAGCCAGCTGAGGCTAGAGCCGAAGGTAGACGGTCAGAAGCCCATAAATCCGCCATTAGCGCATTCGAAAGATCAGCATCTTTCTGGCACAGCGCATAATTTCATGTGCACATGCGAACGCATCTTCGGCTTTGCCACCTGAATGTTGCAAAGAACTTCTCAGATCTAGAGGCCCTGTGCTGTAGAAAATTGGTTACGGTTCGCTACGCTTGGTTGCTGAAGACGACAATATAAGGTGAGCTCAGGAACCATGTTGGGCTGAGCGCGATCCATATTTGAATGACTCTGGTACAGCTGCGCACAAGCATAAGCACATGTCTCCAACTGTGCTGTGCAAGAGATGAGCCGACGGTGAAGAACTCCGAAATGGCTCCGTCCACATGGGCAGAAGGAGCTCTGACGTTCTTTGACATGCTGCCAAGCGCCGGTGTTCAGGTGACTGTCCAGGCGTGTGCTGCACTCAATCCTACATCACGAAGCCAGGGAATGTTGCCAGTTCTTCGGAGATGCGGATGCACTTGCTGTCTCTGAATCTTGGAAGGCTGCTTGATGCCATGGTTCTTCGCAACATTCTCGCGATCGCCACAGACTTCCTGGAGTCGCGGCAACCTTCCGCCTTGGCGATCAGAGTTACATCTGGCGGCCAAACGCGGCTCGGAGATGCGACCATGATGGTGTGGAAAATGCCTCCGAAACACAGAACTATCCTGAAGAGCGCCTGGAGGCTCAGGCTAAACACTTCATCATCTACGGTAACTACCTGGTGGCTTCAACAAGCACTGGTGTGACCTGGTTAAGTGCCCTTGATTATCCTTGATTCCTCCATGCAAGGTGATACGGATCTTTCGCGACCATGCGTTGGGCAGGTAGCTGTAGCTTAACTTTGAATAATGTGCACTCAGAAAAACAAAGCAACTTGTTGCCCAACACAATGTTCAAGTTTTTTTGACTGACCTGGTCAGATGAAGCAACGAACGCATCCTCAGACAAGTGCAGGTCGACTTCGCGTTCAGGACTCTGAAGGCCGTGAAGGCTGCAGATGCAGCATAAGGTGAGCTAAAATCTAAACTCCTAGTATCCCCCTTAATAAGCCTATAATGGTCCCCTATACAATCCATTACAATCCCCCATATAACCTGCCCTTCAGGAGTTCAGACTACAGTTCAGGTGAGGTTGAGGCGCGTCATTCCGACCGCTCGTTCGCTGCCATTGCGACGCGTGGCCTGACCCCCCAATCATCAGACAAGCTTGAATGTTGCTTTGATCTGCATAGGGGCTTTTTTGCTGCACCAGACTCAGGAGGCCTGGTAGAAAGCCGTAGCCCAAGTACTTACTCACTACTGACTCATACAGTAGTCACCATCTGCGCGCGGTTCACGGTCAAAGGTCCCTGCACCCACGGCCGGCGGCAGGCAGAGGAGCCCGCTGCATCGCCTGGGGCGCCTCCACAGGTAAGAGAAGCGGGGCTCCGGCAAAGACATTCTGCTTTCCCAATTTTTGTCCTGTTTAGCACAATCCCCTTTTTTGCTTCAAGATGCTTTGAGCAATCAACTCGGAGAGAGTAGATTCGAAAAGGATTGCTTACTCGGCCTGATGAATGGAGTCAGAAGGATGCAACTAAAAGGAACGCTTGGCAACAAAAACGCAAAAGAATACGTAGGAGAAGCCAAAGGACCACTGCCATCACCACCATCGCTGCCACCAATACAGCTTAGAAGACTTGACCCTTCAAGTTATGTCTGCCTGAATAGCCGCTGTGTCCGCTCTGCGCGTTGAGCAGGAATGCACGACCTCACAAAAAAATTGCCTGATGTCCAGAAATGTTGTTCCTCCTATCTTGCCCTGCAGGCTTCGAAGTCTGCATTCAGGAGCCAAGCCTAAGCACTCCTGCTCCAGGGAGCCACGGATGCAGACAAAACCGTCAGGGCCTTGGCCACATGTTGAGATTTGACTTAGGGAATGCAAACCGAAGAGACATCTCGAAGGACCGAACCTAGAAACCTACAGATCTGCTTGGGTGGTGACCTATCCCTGGAAAGTCGCCATGGGCAGGCAGGCTATGAATGCGGCCAGCTGCATGTTAACTATCTTGACCTTTCACGCAACCAGCTCCTTGTCGCCTCAACTGATCCCCATCCCTTGCATCCAACAATCCAACTTTCGATCCAGCCTGAGAGGCAGGAATAAACCGCTGTCAGAGGCAAACAATTTGCTCAGGGCACTACCAAGGAATCTGTGGATCTCTCCCGGTGCCAGAAAATCGTGCCAGCCCCTGTCAAGTCGGTTCGCCTGGCGACTCAAGCTCTGCCTCAAGGGCTCTTGGCACTGCAAAACCAGAAGGTGATAGAAATGACTAGAAAAACAGTGGGATGGAGAGAAGAGAGCAAGAAAACAAAAAACAAAAACAAAACACACACAAAAGACACATGTGCATCTGCATCTGCTTGACGTCTTGCAAGAACTCATCGTCAGGAGAAACATGTCAAACCACCGCAAATGGCTGGGACCCCTCCGCAAGGCTCGCGCTAAATCCATCGATCCCCAAACCCCTAAACCCCTAAACCCTAAACCTCAAGCCCTATGTATCCCTACATGCGAGCCTTGAAGGTCCACAGGTCGCTCTTTTTCTTTGGAGCAGGGCAGGTCTCGCCACCGCCTGGGCAACATCTGCCCAGGCTGGCGTCTCTATATGGGGTATAGTCTAAACTCCTAGTATCTCCTTAATAACGGCTAAGGATTTTTTTCTTAGGCATTCAGGGTTTAGGGTTTAGGATCTAAACTTGGAGTATCCCCCTTAATAGCCGGTATAGTAGTCCCTTATATAATCCCCTATATAACCCCTTTAAGGAGTTTAGACTATAGTTACTACAATAGCTCATATAACCACACCCAGCACATGGCTATTCTACCAGAGGCAGAGAGGAGCTACATCACCAAGAACCTATCATAGTTACCTATGATCATTTATGATTTTTGCTCCAATGTATGATACTCCCTTTTATGACTCTCAAAATGGTATGCCTAATTTTAGAGAACCCTAAACGCTATATATCCGTGTATAACCCTATGTATCCCTTATATCCCCCTTTAAAAGTACCTCCCATTCTTGATTATGGCGGGCTATTCTTTTTTTGGGCATCATCATGCACTTGCAAGCTTCGCATGGCGTGAAAAAGCCGTGCAGGACCGGCCTGAGGGCCACTTCATGCAAGCAATGCCGTACCTGGCCAGATGGATAGGGCTTTTCTGGGGATAATTCCCTATATACGGTTAAAAAGGGATGAGATTTACATAGGGACTATAAAGGGGATTATGGGCATATCATCCCACAATAATGGATAATCAAGTGGAAAAGAACATGAAAAAAAGAAATGGAAACTGGTACATTTTTCCCAATGCCATGTCCAGCGAACTCCTTTTAACTCGGGCAAGCCTGATGTTTGCAAACTCCCAATCGCGGGGCCAGTGTGGTTGAGGGACCGCCTCCAAGGAAACATGCAAAGCCGAGGCAAGTGAAAGCCTATATGAGAAAGCCTTATACTTGTCCAGGCACTTGCAAGATTGCAACACAGGAAACAACTGCACAAGTGCTAGGCATCATGATCAGCCCTTCAAACTTATTTGAGCAGCTACCTAAACTATTCGTAAACAGCTAAGTAGAAATTCGCCTTGGGGGCGGGGCCTATCACTTTACAGGGTTTTTTCGCACTGCTGTCATCCATTTCAGGGGTATCGCTCTTGGGAGCGGCCCTATCGCTTTACTAGGGTTTTGCTCATGTCCCTGGATTTTATCTCTGCCTGCTCTTGGCTTCTACGGGATAATAAAAGCGGTGACTCATTTATCCTTGAGCGCGGCCGTTGATGGTTGTCATTGTTTGCCACTCTCTTGGCGTTTGTAGGTCGTTGGCGGTTGGTGGTGGTTTCTAGGTTGTCAGCAAGGCTACGGATGATGACAGTTGTAGTTGTTGCAATGAATGTAGCTGTTGTGCCGCCGCTGCAGACTGCTGCTGCCATCTTCTTGCTCTCTGATGGCTGGTAGTGGTTGATATTGGGGCCCCTGGCGCTGCTGCAAGGGGGACCAGCAGCGGCCGTGGTGATGGTGTTAGTTGTTGTTTGGGCGGTAGAGTTGGCGGAGTTATGGTACACGGTGATGCTGGTGATGATGTTGAGGACAATGTTGTTCATGTTGATGCTGCTGTTGTTGCTACTGTCGTTGGTAGCGTCAGCAAGGACATGTTACTGCAACAGAAATAGTAATCTCATTGCCGCAGTGGTGGTAGTACGGCTAACGCTGCTGCTGCCCCTACTCCTCCTCCTGATGCTGCTGCTACTACCGCCACCGCCACCACCACCTGCTCCTGCTGCAGCTACTGCCGCCGCTGCTGGAAAATGCCACTGCCGCTGCCACCACGCCAACCAACTATTCATGCCGCTACTCTTCCTCCTGCTGTTGTCATGTTTGCTACATGACAGCCCGTCAAAATGCCCGACTTGGCAAGTCATCCGCCTCCAAGAAGACGGAAAGCGAACCCCTGTCCGGGTAGCTCAGCAGGCGTGATGATGCTGAATTGAAGGAAATGATTGCTGATGAGAAAGCTGGCGCAGATATGCACAACACAAGTAAGGCTACATTATGATAAGGATGTTCCACTTGGTCAATGCTGGCCCCTGACCAGACGATGGCACTCAACCTTTACCCAGCCAGCCTAGCAACACCGGTGTCAGTCCCTGCTGGGAAGACGAGAACCTGTGCGCTACCGGCCACAAGACAAAAAGTATCAAGGCCCCACCATTAAACCTTACGAGCGGGCATGGTGCTGGGGTCCCAGCCCGCAGGACCACGTCGCCGATGCGCTTTGGCTGCGAACGTAGAGCCTGAAAGTGGCCACTCAACACTGATGTGGGTACCGGAACTTACAGCAAAATCTTGCCCCTATGGTAGCCGTATGGTTCAGTTGCGTGAATCAGATGCTGAACACAGGTGGCCGCACCTGTCCACAAGCATACTGCTCCTTAGTTCAGATGGCGGCTCGACCCTGGCCCACAAGTTTGACAGCCAACGTGGATTTGACTGATGAGTGCTTTATCGCTTTATGTATGTTCTGTTCAAGTGGCGGAGTGGGCATAGTGGAAGCAGAAGTCAATCTCTGTTGAGCTTGGCGGCGGCCTCGAGATACGCAGCAACTGCCCATGATCTGGCATCATTATCCTTATGTCTGTCAAGCAATTTCTTGCAGCAAGACCAGAGGCTACTACACGCCCGGTGGCAAGATTGGCTTCCGCGGCACCTGAAAGCAACACACCACAGCCGAGAGAGCTTTGTGGGCGGGAGTGCTTACTTTAGGTGATGGCCACAAGCAACTGTTCCCGAAGTTCTCAGCCCCCACCCTCAGCACTGGGAGCGTGGCTATTGATTGGTGTCCTAAAGTTGCGAAGGCTTCTGCGCCTGACACCGCGTAAAGCCAAGCTTAGATTTTGCACTGCGGCAGGCAGCAGCAGAAACCGCAGGCACAACATTCGTCCAGCCTCCAAGATCGAAACGAGCAGCCCGGGCCTTAGGATCTTCGGGAAGCAGATCCGAAGCCGAGTTCTTAATCTGGGCACATGCGTCAGCCACCCTTACTCGCTCGGTATCGTTTCATATCGTTTCTGATTCTGGCGCAGAACTTGTTGCAAAAGGGCTTTTGGGGAACAGTGGTACCTGATGAAACTGACATCGGCGTCGCGATCAACGGCCAGGATAGCATGATCAACATCGCGATCATCATGAGCAGCAGCAAACAGCGAAATGGAAAGAACAACGAAGCCAACAGCACGATGAAGGACAGCTGCCCCAAGACTGCTTGCAGGTCTGAACTCTAATAATTGGGACAATATGGCTTTTCACCTTTGCATGCGGCGCCCGTCTCTCCCAAGGAACAGGCAGTCAGCGCACGTAGGGTGACCTCTTTTCAGCACATGCTGAAGCAGAAAGGGCCGCTGGAGCCAACCACACATTGATATCATCTTCGACTCAACATGCGTTGTCCTGGAGCAAGACCTGGAGACCTACTTGTACATAATATGAGGCACATCAGAGCCATGAGGCGCCTACACCTGCTTACGGATGGCTGATATGGAACGAAGGAAAGGACATAGGAACCACTAGCAGGGATTTCAAAGTGACTCCTGTAAGGGATCCACTTCTTCTCTACTACCCACCTTACAACGTAAACCCAAGAGGCGACATAAGGAAGTTTCCCTAAATTACTGTTCCCAAAATGGGGGAAATGTATATAGGGCCCCGTATTATAATGGGAACCCAAATATAGGACCCCATATTATAGGGAATTTAGACCAATACCCACTTTGTTATCCTCTCCCTACCACCAAGGAACTCTGCGGACCGGCCTGGGGTTTCAAAAGGGTCTTGTGCAGCGCCAAGGCCTGATCAAGGCAGGCAAACGGTTTAGGGTTTACGAGGGCTTAGGCGATTTTCGCATTGGGGACTCCAGGAATGACCCTTCCTGGGACCCCTGAAGGGATAAGTTGGGGGGAGCGGGGGGTGGGGGGGTGGGGGGTTAACATGGGGACTACCTAGTTGTAAAAGCGGGTATCTAAAGAGTATGTTGCTGAATACTGGGATTGGAGGTCGCTTCTAGTGGTCTCTCCTGGAAGCCCTTGATCATAACCGCAAAGGGCATATAGCTACTGGCACAGGCCACTCTATAAGGATTATAGGGAGTCGTATAGGGCCAAGATGCAGCAAATAGGCAAGTGCCTGCCTGGGCAAACTTCCGCGAGCTGAGATAGGCCCAGCGCACTTCGTCCCAAAGAGCCTGCCGGGCATCTAGCCACGTTCAACGAATTGTAGCAACTATCTCTGCAAAACGCTGTTCTGCTCATGGTCCAGTATAGTATAGTATACTATACTATAGGATATTATGGTATTTTCTACTTTTCAATATGCTATAATGTATCATAGTATATTCTAGATATTCTAGTAGATTCTACTATTATACAGTATGATCTGATCCCTTGCCTCCTCATCGCTCTCATCCATGTAGTCCAAGCGGGAAGTGCTAGCCTCAACATGAATCTTCCCTGTACCTGCTAACTCGTAAGGACAATTAGCAGCTCATAGAGCTGTTACTACCCATGACCACTCTATGGGGAAGGCTCATGTACCAGAATGTCTACTGGAAGCAAGAGCTTCAGAGCTTGATGCGTCTGACTTTCATGGCCGTCTGCTCATCTTTGTTGGATGCATTTGGGCCCTGCCTTCCCTGTCTCGACAGGCTCTGTGGAGCTGGACTCAGCACCATGGCCTCAACCGGCTTAACGTGCTTTAAGGTTCAAGGTGAGCTAGAGTGGAAACTCCTAGTATCCCCCTTAATAATATAGTAGTCCCCTAAATAACCCCTTTTACAACCCCCTTGAAGGAGGCATGAGGCATAGGTCTGCAGCAAACAACTCCCTGCCCCTCACGCTTCACCATGCTTAGCTCGGACACGTTGCAAAGACCCTCCTTACCGGGGTTTGTATAGGGGATTACATAGGGGACTACAAAATGGGGTTATTGAGAGGGATACTAGGCGAGACAAGCTGAGCCCCAATGATAAAGTCAATTTAGCCACACCCATCCACATCTCAATCCAACTTGCCCTGGAAGGCACTAGATTACAAGCCCCTTCCTTTTAAGGGATATATAGGGGTTATAGGACAATAGAAAACATGGAAACTACTGTTTAGGGCCAAACTCCAGCCCCAAGGGGCCTCCTTCAAGCTCAGCTGACTCGCCGAGCTGAAGTCGATCGAGCACAAAGTCGAACACTGCATCCTGAGTAAACTGGGTAGCTGTTAAGGAACTTAATTCAAGTTACTATATTGGGGAAACCCTATTATTTACTATATATACTCATTATGGTAACTAACATCCACAACCACCACCGTTACAACTGCCATCATCACAACCACAACAGCCCCGACAACAATCGACGGCTGCAACTTCTGGAACAAGCTAGTGAAAAATAGATTCGATAGATGCAAAGGAAGATCACTGCAACAGCAAGAAGGCACAGACGTAAGAAATAGAAAGGAGGAGCCAACGTAGAAGAACGAGAAAAACTATGCTACTATGAGCTCAAAGCCTGCAGCAGCGCCAACTGAAAAAACAAACGCTTGCAGGCTGGTGCTCCTCGCTCTCCACGAGAAGCTCGTCAGCGTTCAAGATCTCTGCCAAGACACGAGCAGGCAGCCGCCTGTCACTTGCCAACACTTGCATTTTTGCAGCGACATAAACTGCGCTATGCTGTCCGTGTGCTGAACAGCAAACCCTCCTGGCCAATGATGTTGCTCTGCAACCAGGAACCCAGGCATGAAACCAATTCAGCGGTGACGGTATTGATCCATGGACCGTCTTGCAAAAGCTGCGCTCATGTCCTTTAAACAGGAGGGAGCTGCAACAACGCAGTCTTCATGTCGCTGTTCGTCACAAAAGGTTGAAACCTGGAGCAAGCTTGGCTGTGCAGTCATGCCTCAATGAAAAGGCATGGCTAGAATATGGGGTCAGCGGAATTCGGCGACACAGATCAGACACTGAGATGCAAAAAGACTGGGACACGCACTTTTTAACAATGAGGTCCACCGCGCCATCCCGGATCTGACGCAGTGCTGCACCTGAGCGCTGTAGCTGTGGAAAGGGTCTTTTTACATAAAGTATGTAGTAGTTTCCCAAAATAAG